TTTAATGGTACAATCAAGTAAGAAAATAAGATTCTTGGTTATTATCGTAGAAAATAATAATATAAAACAGCTTTCAGAAATTATAACAACATTTTCTCTAAGTTAAAATTAAAATAAGAATTCCAACGTTGAAATCTCTGTGGAATGTTTACATCGTAAAAACATGATTGGTATCCCTGACACTTAGAACCAGATTATTTTACTGCAGTTTCTACCTAATTTCAAATATAGGCAAAACCCAGAAAACACGCATAAACACTCCAAAAAAGCATTTTCGAAAATTGTAAGATTGGTTTTAACGACAGATTATGTTAAAATTTTTAATTTGTTAGTAACAATTAATCAAAAGTTTAGACTTAGCAGAAATTTTTTGAAAAAATACGTATGTATAATGGTATTCAACAAAAAATAAGGGTTTATCATTAAGGTGAATAAATGTCAATTTTAAAGTGGTAAATAACATTTTCCTCATTAAAAAAGATACCGCAACAAAATTAAGGATCAATTTTAAACAATCTCATATTAAAACAGGGAAATTTTAGAGTATTAAACTTCCCCGGATGATTTAATTACATGAAAATACATAGATATCTTGTAAACTAGGACCTTATATCTATAATTATATGCAAAAACACACACGTGTCAAAGCGAAAAGAATGTTTATAAATTGATGTTAATTTAGATTCAAATTTCTCTTTCAGTTTAAGACACGTGTCACACGATATAATAATTGTAACTTGATAGTCCGTATGTAACCATTTCTTTTTATTTCTTTTTTTCAGCCACCTTTATATTATCAAATTCACGTACTATAATTATAACGTTTTGAATGTTGGGACCAACACTTACATATCCATCATTATAGTAACATATGCGGTATAAAACAGGGTGCGAATATGTGACCATTCTTATTTTTAACTAAGAATATTTTAAACGCGTCCCCTACCTCTTCTTCTATATTAAACTATATTGAAATAGCATAGTTTGAATTTTGGACTAAGCCTTGTGTATAAAATCTAATTTGTTGAACGAAGAATCGAGTAGTCAATGACAGCTCATTAAGATAGAAATCACAAGGTGTCATATAAAATTAATTAGCACGGTAATTATTGGTAGTAAAGAGTAATTTGTCGAAACATTTGACAGGGCGATTACCGGGAAAACCCCGCATACCCCGAACGTTGTTGATTTTTAACAGCTTTGAAATATGAACAAAATATCTAATTCCAAAAATCATTTTAGGGTTGTAATTTCATACATTTTTTTAATGATAACAAATAATATCGCTGGACAAAGCAATATCTTTTTATCTAATATAACCTCGAACACTTTTTGCCCATTGATCATCGCAAAAATCATCTGCCGTAAAATTATGACGAAGAAATTATGTGGGCAAATTTGAAGACCTTTTTGTGATTTAAACATTGACCAACAACATCAATGCTCACTATCTCTCTATGGTCCATCAATTTGTAAATCCGACGTTGGGAATAGTATGATGTTCAACATTTTCTTTTTCGTTTCTAATTCGACGGCATCACCAATTGATCAGTCCACGGTTAATATGCAGACAAGGCAGTCTGGCACGTTGAAGCATTCCATCATACTGTGTTCCCACTGAGGGATTATAATATAATTACCCGTAATTACACCGACTGATCAGCGGGAAAATTGTTGAAATGTTACAGTAAATAAAAATCGTTTAAAATTGCGATTTATTAGCGTGATACCGTGAGGTAACGAGTGGGCAATGTTGCCATTAATTGCCACAAGATATGTACTACACTGTGGTTACCTGTGGTTCCGTGTCTGACATCTTGCTGGGAACCAACTAATTAAATATATTGACACGATCATTAATGTACTGTTAGCCAACATTGAAAAGAATATAAGTATATATTATTGTGCGCAACGATGATTTTTAACTCCGTGGTATTTTAATCTCTGCTAATTTTATATAGCAAGTGTTAATGTTAAAACTTAAATTTATCACTTCGCAATTAATGATTTATAGATAGGCCAGTCGTTATGGCGTCCTTCGCCAAGATGGTATTAGAGATAGGTCGATGTTCCAGTATTGCTAAGCTAAGCCGATGCCTGAATGGTAACTTTTATTGCATCAATGTCGTAAATGGTAAGAGCTTGTCGACACAAAAAAATAGTTGAACAAAAAATTGCAAAACTGTTATTTTTCAAAGAAACGAAAATGACATTTCATGATACATTTTCAGTAGCTTTAACTCTTTCTTTTTCAAAGAACGCTAACAGTAATTTATTATTCAAATCCTTCAAATCCTCTACACTGAATAAATCAGCAGGTATACGGCCAGGATTATCTCGTCTGCAGACAGATGTCTTATAATACTCCAGGAAATTACTCTTGAAGATTTACGGATAAAAAATAATGACTTTGATGGTAGGCTATCTGTGCGATTCCACATAGATAACAGAAACAACGCACAGTCTAATGACCTCCTGCTGGACCCAGGAACGCTGCACGCGCCAGAATACCGTAAATGACGAAGTTCGTCTGCTTTAGCTAGCACTATCTTGTAAATGATAGGTTCCCAATTTTCCAGAACACTTCGGTTCCTTCTTTTATTTATACATTTGTAACAAGAAATGTGTTTATGTTACTACACAGTACGGTACGGACTCTGGCCTAATCTATATATAAGTAACGCGTCTGGCCTTTGGTCGTTTGAAAAACCGTTTGAAGTTTGAACAAACGGTGATGCTTATAAACTGTTTATTTTATCATTCAAATGACCTGGATAAAAATTATTTGAAGTTAAAGGAAGCTTCTATCACGCACATGGAAACTAATTTATTGCTTCGTTGGAAACCATGTATTAGAACTAGATAGGAAGAAGAAACGGGTTGGCAGTGTATTACTTGATTAGATACGTCTGTCTGTACTATTGTCTAAATCCCGCCCGCTAATTGACAACAGGCACGTGTGCTTGAAAAATAAACATTCAACAATATAATCTCAACCATCTGGGCTTAGACATTCTTGCTATTATGCACACATACCCCGCGTTTTGGCATTGTTAATTAACTTTCTAATTTGTATGTGTAGGACTTATAAAACAGTGTAATGTTGAATAATCAATATTTGATTTTTTTTAATATAAACTATTTTAATGGACCTTTAAATGGTCATTTTTCACAACAATGAAAATAATACCGAATGTGCTTATTTATTACATGCTTTTCGGTGGTTTATAGAAATATATCAGAGGTATAAAACCGATAATTTCAGTGTTTTAAACAGTGAAATTATCAATTTGATAATTTCGCTGTTTTGAATTTAAACCCCTTACGTTGGCTTACACACTTAATGACGTGACGTTGTATTATTATTTGGCGCGCTCTTCATTTAGTATTAGGTTTAATGTCTTTATAAAACGTTTCTTTGCCTATAATAAAAAGAAAATTTGTTTAGTTTAGTGTAAGATCGAAATATATTTCACCTTGTGAACACCAAAAGTTTATATTTCACTCGTGGCTGCGCCACTCGTGAAATATACCTTTTGGTGCTCACTCGGTGAAATACATTCCGATCTTACACTGAAGTTTAAGAAGAGCATTTTGCACCGCCCCCACCTTCACTGGACATTAAACATTATTTAATAAAGCTACATCTCACGTAATTGGGAAGGAAAATTCATCGCTAAATTTGCTCAATCTGGAAAAGTAAAATAGCTGGTGTAAGTTCAGATTTTTGGGAAAACTGCAAGATTTTATTCAATTTAAAGAAAATTTCAATTCAAAGAGCCTCTGTTATATAAGGAGGAAAAATTACTGTATACAAATAAATATTTTTTAAATCTCAAGATATGAAAGTTCATACGGCGATGGCTGGACTCGTTTAGGTCGTATTTTTCCTCATTCATAAATAATTGAAGAAACACTACCGTCTTTCACTTGTACTGAAGCTGTTATCGTTTATCAGTTTATTTGCGAACATTATTAAAATGAAATTAAATTGCAGAGGACAATTTACTCGATTAAATGAAGCTGAACTGAATTGTAAAGGTTAATGACACTTCATGTACCTTTAACCTTAAGGAAATGTTGCTGAATTAATTTAAAGTACTTCATATATTACTATACAATATTATCCTGGACAACAACCTCGTCAGGATTTAAGTAATATTTTCATTTTTTAAACCTATCCAAAAAACTTACCCTAACACACGGAATATCAAGGGGTTGAACTGGCAGTATATAGTTTACGATCATCTATCCTTTTCGTAAAAAGGCTCACCTATCTAAGCCTATTATGATTTTTAGGCGCATTATGCCCAAGAAATGCTTTTAGTTTTATTTCTCAAAAGCTCTTTAATTTAAGTGTACTTTTATACTGCATTCCTAGAAAGGGGCGTCCGTGGCCGAGTGGTTAAGGTCGTAGACTTCAAACCACTTGCCCCTCACCTCTGTGGGTTCGAATCCCGACAGGGACTTTGGATTCTTTCATGTGAGGAAGCTATCCAGCTAGCTTACGGAACGTCGGTGATTCTACTCAGGTACCCGTTCGTGCCTGAAATAATGCACGGAAGGGCACCTGAGGTCTTCCTCCACCAGTAAAGCTGGAACGTCGCGATATGACCTATACTGTGTCGATGTGACGTAAAACCCAAAACAAACAAAACAAACAGCATTCCTAGAAATTATTTAGTTAGCGTTTTTCGCGGTTGACGATAGTTTCCAAAACTCCGGAACGTGACTTCTTATAATATGACCTAAATGAGAACAAAACCATGCAGTAGCGAAACGTAAGTCTTTGTTTAATGAGGGTTCAACCGCCCGTTTAGGCACAAAAAGTAGCCTTTGGTATCGAGTGCGAGTCCCGCCCATGTCACCAGTCATGCCCTAAAAGCACCAAGTGATGCTAATTTATCTCCATGCCATTGCCAGAGAATTAGCCATAGAGATGAATTTTGAATAAAAATAGGTCAATATAGCGACTAATAATGAACTAAACGTACAATTACCTGTTACAATAATGAGTAGATAAACAGTGATAAGTTAGCCCTCACACAATCTAGTAGCATTCCTTGTCGTCATCGACTTTGCAGGGCCACTTTCCTGGCCTCCGTTTGGACATCAGCAGCAGGTCCGCCGGATATAAGTTTTTTTTCGCCGTATCTTCGACCTATGCATCTCAACGGCGTGCATGAACCAAAGGAAAGAGAGACATATTAGTAGAAGAAAATGCCTACCGCCAAGCTAAGGGGAGCAACTTGCGGGTAACTAATATTGGTAGACCAAAGAAACGCAAGGGGATAAATGCGTGACGTCACTGAAGTGCGTTGTCCAGCCGAACTACTGTGACTTTTAGTTAGCGACCGAACCCTGCATTTATGTATGGCATTAACACATTCGTACATATACGATGTCACATTTTTGACGTAGCTGGAAGTCGGACAAAATGATCGTAAACTAAATTATCAGCTGTGTTGCTCTATATACATTTTGGCCAGCATCATTTAAATACCGTTAATCATTGTTCCGAATGTGTCGCATTCATCATCTGAAATTCAAGCTTTAACAATCTTGTCCGGTTTCAGAGCAGCCTATAGTTACACTGGCTATCTTCACGTAACATGTGCGCTAACTTTAGGTCTCACACGGTCAAATTACAGAAAAGGACGCTGCTTAGATCATTCACAAGCTACAAACACGCGTCAGCTGTCAGAACAATGACAGAAATTAATTACAACGAGTGTAAAGTCATTTTTTTAGTTAATGATGCAATAGTATTATGAAGTTAACGCATTTTTTAAACTTCATGTTAAAATAAGATTAGCTTCACTTGAAAATTTTGGAAATACTTCAAAACGTTGTTTGACCTTCATACTTCTTGACTACCATTGTACTCATGCATAATTTATCTTTTCAATTTCGTCATCCTTAAATTTGACGCGATCTCATTACATGCCCAAACTTGTTTTCTACTATCTACATTATACATACACACAAAATGTATGTTGCATTTGGTAAATAGATCAAAAGTAGCTTTATACGCCTGCGCAAAATTATTTCATAGCATACCGACATAAAATGAATTGAACTAAATGCACTATCAACCTCAAAATTTTATAAAAATGGGGTTGATCAGCAAATCGTGTCATCTTTCGATTTTTAAAAAGTTGACATCTAAAATATCTTTAAATAATTTGTACAGTCGTTAATTGTAATTCCGGTCTCCGCCACCAGATGTCAGCTTTTCTTACCTGCATTGTGGCATCGATCAAGTGGTTTTGCTTTAGCGCAAAATAGCTTTAAACAGTTGGAGGACCATTTAGCAGGGATTTTCCTTTTTGACTTCTAATAGCATTTAAGCAGGGATACTTCCAACTGCAGCCAAAGTCAACTCTATTCTTCTTTGGTGACGAGTACATTTTGAGGCACTTACCAACATAATTTTATAGTTAAAAATAGATAATTTTAAATTGCATCTTTGTCAATAACTAGATGGATCAATAGATTGGATATTTTTATGCGCTGCTTCGAGTTTTTAATGGTTTACATTCCAGTCCTACTGATAAAAGGTCGTTTTTTTGCTGCTGGCACAACTACCTAAAGTTTTCATTGCTAACAAAATAAAAATTTGATAAACTTACAGATCCATTATGTAAAATTGGTGTGAATAAACTTTTCCATCATAAGTACTGGGGGTTATACATTGGTCAGCGATATCCCCTAGACTATTACCACTATTACTGTCATAGTTCAACTTAGGTTAACGTCTGGCTATAACAGGACATGGTCGGTCATCTAAGGTCAGTTTACATTAAGAGTTTACGTGCTGGACACTAGTTTGTGCAATTTTTAGTCAGTATTATCAACAAACCGTTTACACGCTGCGCTAGTCTTTCGTCCTCTCGTAAGATGACTACTTCTTCATGTATAAAGAAAACTTGAAAAGAAAACTTGAAACTTGGGCATTTGATGTATAATTTTATAATACATTTCAAATTCCATATGAAAAAAAAAACATATGCAATTAATGTTCACCACACAGTAAATTGTTTCGACACATCAATCTTGGTAACTCATTAGTTGATATGACCGGAGCTTAAATATGTAGTTGAAGAAGGAATTTGATGATGAATTTCGAGTAAAACGAGTTTGTGTTATTGAGAGACAACTGTATTTGATAAAAATATGCAATTATCGGAAACAGATATCGAGTATAAATACAAGTATGACTATCAGAATTTGGTTGCTGGTGTATTCTTTTTACTAACCGAAACCTACACATTTATTAGCCTTGCCACCTCAATAGAGATTGGTAAGTCTGCGCATTCGCCCAGCTTACTGATGTTGGTAGCAGCTGTAAGCTCGAGTCTTGCATTACAATACTGTATACTCCCCTTAACTTTGAATGGACTGTTTCAAACTCAAAACTGGGTAAATTCATTACAAAATAGCAGAAAGTTTAAAGGCACATTATGTCTCAGAAAAGAATAAATGTTTACTCCTTTAGAAAGGTCAAACTTTAGTTTTACAACGTTTAAATAATGGTTTAAGAGCATGTCAAATGTTTGTTAACTGAGTAAAATGTAAAATAATTTGTCATAAAAGCAGCTAAATGAAAAACAAAACAGTATTTTGACTTCTATACAAAATACTAAATCACTAAAAATATACTAACTGCCAAATTGTAACAGAAGAATACAGTTCAGGTAATTGGCCATTGAGCAACTTGTTGGAAACTATAAAAAAATACAAAAAAAAGATTAAAGATTTTGAGAGCATTTCTGGGGCATTATATGCCTTTAAACGAGGACAACCAGCTGTGAGGAGAATTGGTCAAGATACTGACTTAGGGTTAAACCAAGATACTCATTCGGTTCACGTTTGTCTACATGCGTATGTTGCAACGGAAGTTGGTCAAGTGTAACAGGCCAAGCTGTATATATACACTGAAATATGAAAATCCTGGGAAATAGGTCATACTACTTCAACTATCACTACTACATCTGCTTGTGTGTAAAAGCGTCGTTTTAAATGACAGGGCTGCTTGATATCAGATTCAAGTAATCAAAGTATAAAAGTACAGATAGTCAATTTGGTAAAAAACCTTTACCATACACTATACGTTTCACGACAATACGCTTTTTATAAAAATATACATAAAGTTATGTAATCAGTCTAGAATGTTGTTTATTTGGATGACAAAACATAACGTTATTCATTCCCGTTGCCCTGCAAACATAGTGTTAATAGAAATAGTTATCATTTGAAATGTTGCTTTAAACATATCTGTGGATGTTTTTTTTAATCCAAACTTTTACAATTTCATGTTTAAATGTTGAATTCCGCTTTAGCCGGTGCTAGGGGGGCGTGGACGGACAGTCCAAGAAGAGGGTCAATCAAACCGAACCTGCATCATTTTCAATTTAGCCGTTTTGGGTTTTCTTTAGGGATTCTTATTTTCTCTATTTAAAGTTTTGTATTTAGGTTTCTGGAGTGTAACCAGGCAATTGTAAAAAAACCCGAACAAATTGCACGTTTGTAAAATGTGGTTTACAGCTAATCGCCCATTAATATGATACGTCTATTTACATTCGTAATAGGCCAATTTTTTGTGGGTGTAAAAACATGTCTAAGCACGTTTGAGACGTGTCTGTACTTGTAAATAAAGTTTACATTTTGATGGAAAACCAACCTTATTAACTGTTCCTATGAATATCGAAAATATGTAAGTTGTACGTAATCTAGGACATTATATGATATGACACTATATTATATGATATAGGTGATAATGTATACAATATCAGAATTTGGTATACCAATGATTATATATTAAGTGTCATGTAACCTTCATGTAGCCTCAACCGTGCCCATAATACGGCTTAATCTGGTTTGTCTCGAACCTTTATAATTGAGTTTCTGGCTTGTATAAGCTCAAGTGAGTGTACACAAATTAATTTTGAGCCAGTAAATGGACCAAGCATAGTGTGATTTTGTTTTGAGTCCTTAAAACCTCAGTGACGGAATGTCATACTAATATAGTTTTAACCTTAAATAGCATCAACGATGCAATAATCATCGTTTGTTACGTCAACGATGCAATCATTTCAAATTTATTTTGAACCGTTTGTTACGTCATTGATGCAATCATTTCAAATTTGTTTTGAAACGTTTGTTACGTCATTGATGCAATCATTTCAAATTTGTTTTGAAGCGTTTGTTACGTCATTGATGCAGTAATCTCAAGTCTGTTTGGAACTGCTGCTTGCATGATTGATGTGATTTCAAATTTATTTAGAACCTTTGGTTGTGTAATGATGCATCAATTTTGAATCTTTGGTGTTATAAATGATGCAGTAATTTCATATTTAATTTGAACCGCTGGTTGCATCAATGATACAGTAATTTTAAGTTTGTTTTAAATCGTTTGTTGCATTAATGCAGCGATTTGAACTTTTGCTTGATTCAATGATGCAGTAATTTCATGTTTGTTTTGAACCACTGGTTGCATCATTTCAAGTGTGTTTGGAACCGCTGGTTGCGTCAATTATGCAGTAATTTCAAGTTTGTTTTGAACCGCTAATTGCATCAATGATGCAGTAATTTCATGTTTGTTTTGAACTACTGGTTGCATCAACGATGCTTTAATTTCAAGTGTGTTTGGAACCGCTGGTTGCGTCAATTATGCAGTAAATTCAAGTTTGTTTCGAACCGCTGATTGCATCAATGATGCAGTAATTTCATGTTTGTTTTGAAACACTGGTTGCATCAACGATGCTATAATTTCAAGTGTGTTTGGAACCGCTGGTTGCATCAATGATGCAGTAATTTCAAGTTTGTTTTTGAACCGCTGGTTGCATCAATGATGCAGTAATTTCAAGTTTGTTTTGGACCGCTGGTTGCACCAATGATGCAGTAATTTCAAGTTTGTTTGGAACCGCTGGTTGCATCAATGATGCAGTAATTTCAAGTTTGTTTGGAACTGAATTTCATGTTTGTTTTGGACCGCTGATTGCATCAATGATGCAGTAATTTCAAGTTTGTTTTGGACCGCTGGTTGCATCAATGATGCAGTAATTTCAAGTTTGTTTTGGAAGCGCTGGTTGCATCAATGAAGCAGTAATTTCAAGTTTGGTTTGGACCGCTGATTGCATCAATGATGCAGTAATTTCAAGTTTGTTTTAGACCGCTGGTTGCGTCAATGTTGCAGTAATTTCAAACTTGTTTT